CATATCATTAAAACTGTTGCCAAAAGGTGTATAAATAACGCATTGCTTGTCTCGGCTAAATAGTTTTATTGTTCCATGAGGAAGCAAACCCAAAGCACTATGGCATTAATGCCACATATTGGTTTACTGACAGATTTTTCAATATTAAACAGCATATTATGCAGCCAAAACTTGACAGGCTTAATTGTATACTTAAGAGTCAGACTAACTCACAGTTTATTCTTTCTGGGATGGTGGCAGTTTGGAATTAAAAATCTCAATAGATTCATTGTAGTGATTCTTTATTTTGTAATTATCTCCACAATGTTTATGCAGAATCATTTCTATAGTTTTCTAGTCAAGTGAACCCTGTGACTGGAGAAGAAAATTGCCATCGTCAGAAAGAATAATTCTGTGCCCTGATTCTTTTTTCAGGCACAGTCCAGGATCTTTCAAAGCAAATAATGTCACTAAATGAAAAAAGCATGGCACTATGCCTCCAAGCACCAAAAAAACTTCCAGCTGCTGTTTTTTCACAACTACTGATGACAAGATTCAAGATCTTGTTCACTTCCAACGGTCATCAGATGAAGAAAATTTACAGCTCAGTTCACCTTGCCAAAATACTATGTTTGAACTGGGGCAAGTTTCATCATATAGCAAGAATAGATTTTGGGAAATTTGATTTGGAATGATAGAAAACATTCAGCTTAATTTTCAGAAACAAGTCTGAGTCACACTGTCAGGTAAATTGCAAAGTCAATTGGATTGTTGTAGATAGAAGATCACTACTTCCATAGAAATTAACGAAGTGACATGGTGATATGTTTGCTCTGTGCCTGTCTCCTATACTCACTGCTAAGACATACTAATTATGACAGAGAAGCTATAATTTGGTGTGAAGAGGTGGAAATTTGTGAGGTAGAGTTACTAAGAAATTTAGTGTTTGGCACCAAGTGTTGAAAGTGCTGGTTTAATTTTGAAGTCCATAATCCTCAGCTTGCAGCCAGTACTCCTGTCCAGTTCACTAGGAGCAATCAGCACAGAGCATACTTGGATAGTCTGCCTGCCAGTCCTGGCTGGTTCAGTTGTCAGGTAAAGGCTCCAAAGCTGCTGAAGGCTTGATACAGATGGTGCATCCCCAGTGTTTGGGAATCGGAGAGCACAAGTAAGAAGAGGATGTAAAAGCAGAATGAAAAAGTTCCAGAACTGTCCCTGGAACTTCACTGTAGAACATCATCCTCTCAAAACTGATATATTTCTATAGCAGCTTTTAAAATTAAAGACATGTATATCTTATTGTTACCTTTGGCTGTTGTAAAAGACAGCTGTTCATTTAAAATTATTCTGTAAAGTGAGATCAAGCCTGGCTTTAAGGATGCAGCACGAATGTGATTTACCCTTAACTTGTCTGTGTTCATGTGCCAAGAAAGGGAAATGGGCCCATGGCAGGACCCCCTCAGCAAGGCAAATGTGTTTATGCCTACCTATACACAACACCTAAGAACAGCTCTTCTACTGGAGGAGCATCCTGGAATCAGACATAGAGAGGGATTTTGAACAGGAATCCGGTTTAACTAACCAAATTAACTTCTGGTGCCAGTCATGCCAGCTGATCTGGTTGAAATAGGTAACAGTTCAGGTATTGCTCCTTCTTCTCAGATGTTCCTGTCTGATGAGATGATGAATGTGTGCTATGCTGGATTTTACTAATGAACTGTTCCTGCCTTTTTTTCTAGTACTTTTGTCTTTCTTAATAGTTACTAAGTTATTTGGTCTGCTCATTTTGTGAGGGCTTAAATTTGCTGACCATGTTCCTGCAGTAAGATTAGACATTTTATCTTTTCAGCTACTGATTTTAAGAGTCCTGTAGCACAGCAACAGTGAAGATCAGAATCCTGTTGTCGTAAGTACTATGGTGAAGTAAAATCTGAAACTGTCTTCCCAAGAGAGTTAAAATGAAACCTAGATGTATATGCATACACGTCCATGTGCACCTACACCTATCATACATCTACACATGCTTCTGGAGGTGTATGAAATGATGAAGCGAGAGGGTGGAGTAATCATTTCAGTTGTGTTGGCCATAAATATGATATTTCAAGAGTTTGGGTAGCTGTAAGTCAGCATAAAGCTAATCAGGACCAGGTTGAAGTTGATTTGTGAGCTTTGCTGCAGTGTTGCAAAAGGATGTGAAAGAAAGAAGACAGAAATTTTATCCTGGCATGGATTTTCTCCCTTGTGTAAGAGAAGGCTTATAAGAAAGCTGGTCACTTGCCATTACCAGGATAAAGACGTACATTCAAGTTTTGCTGTCTGATTTCAGCACAGGCCATTTATAGGAAGGTCTTAGCAAATATTAATGACACAGTTTACTGTTTCTGGTATTGTCCATTAGTCTCACTGTGTCTGCAGGGCACATGGCTACAGGAATTTTTATTCCTGTCACTTGGAACCATTACCAATAATACCAGTGAAACTGGAAGCTCTTACTTAGAATCCAAGCCTTCACTGTAGCAAATATATGGATTTGTGGCACCAGAGGTGTGCTGGAAGTCAACTGGGAAGTGCTACTGCCTGTACTTGACTAAACACAGAAGCCACCAGAGATCTGATATGCTGCCATGAGTCCTTGTGTAGAGCACAGTAGGTTGGGAGTCCTTTCTTTGGTGGATTGTGTGAATTAACTGATTAATATGAAGGAAGTTTATGGAGTACTCAGTATAGAACTGCTCCCTTGTCCATTGTGCACAGTCATTTAGATGGAGCTTGGTGTGCAGCTGCGAGACTTGGAGGGGGAGGAAGGTCTCCACAACCAGTTGCTGAAGACAATTTTCATATTGTACTATGAGCTACATAACAACAATGACCTTTATCTAATTTGCACCTTTATAACTTGCATAGTCGTTGTAATAACAACAGACTCTTCAACGGGTGCTTAATGGGTTTGTTTACGAGCAAACAGAATAAAGTGAGAATCAATAGGTATTCAGATGCCATTTTGGGGGCAGGAATTGTAATTATTGAACAAACACTGGACATTGTTCTTTATGGGGCAATAAAGGCACACATGGGGTCAGTGAGGTATCTGCTGAGACCAGGAGTAGTATTGATTTTTAGAAATGACTTCTGTGATCTTCTCGTGGATTTCTCTTCACATCAGTCCAGCTGGCAGATTCTGTGCATCCCAGGGGAGGCTGAGTGAATGCACACGTAGCACTGGAGTAAAACTTCCTTGAATCATTTAACACCTGCTTCTGCTGAGAAGACTGTGAGACACAAAGTCTATATGCCTCTCAGGTTTTGGGTCATTCTCTTCCCCTGGGTGTTTTCAGCTAAGCCAGAACATGAACAAAGATACATTTAAAAGTAACTGGAGAATGGTTTGCTGATGCAAACTACAGCATGTGTGTTGTATTTTCATAAGCACCAAGCTGGGAGACCACATGGTTATTTCGTTAGAATGGAATCTGAGAACTAGCTGATTTTGTTTCTGTCTCTTACATTGAATTGCTCTGTGATTGTCAGTCACTCATTGAGGCAAAAATCCAACTGTAGGTAAAATCAGAGTCCGACTTTTCATAGGTGGTAACTGGAATTAAGTAAGCCCTTAAATACCTTGAGTTTTGTGTTCCCTGTCCATAGTGATATGATAAAGAGAGTTTTGATGCTTGTGATATGCTTTAAAAGTCACAAATGACAAGAGAAGTAAAAATTGTTATTTATAGTTTGTTGGGGTTTTTCCTAGGGAGCAAGTAGACTTCACCAAGCCCAGTGGGCATGGCATGCAAATTTCAGTAAAGAAAATGGTGAAGAGAAAACTCATGTTTAATTGGACTCTAGTGAAGCTTTGGTGTGGTCAGTTGTGACAAAAACGACAATTGTATGTCATACATATATTAAATATCAGCAATATCACAGGATTCTTTCTACAAACTGCTGATGCCTCTAATAAACAGTTTTCTCCTCCAGATTTCTTTCTTTCCTCGTGGAAGCTGCTATCAGATTCAAAATGTTCTATGTTGACACCTAAATGGTGTGATAGAATCCTAGAATGCACTCCTGGAATGGCTGGTGATAGTCTTCCTTGAATGTGGTACAAGAGAATACAGGAATTACTTCTAAAGGATGAAAAAAGGACATTAATAAAAGCAATCCTTTTGTTAAATTTCCTCTGTGATGATCTATAGGTACCCTAGCAAATGCTTACACATCTAGAAAATATAACAAAAGTAAAGCAACTAGAAAAAGTAAAAAAAAAACACCTCTTGGGAGTTGCTTTCAGTCCTGCATTTCCATGAGTAATTCAGAGACCATCATGGAAAATACAAAGTTAAATCTTTCATAACATTGTATTTTATAGCTTTTATTCAAAAATATGACCCAGTATTTTGACATTTGAAATAGCTTATCAAGACAAAGAAGCTGACAGACAGTTTTTAAAATACTTTCTGGATGATCCCAACAATAATCTGTGATTAATTTTGAGCTTCTGCTGTTCATGTTGAGTAAATGAAACTTAGGTTTTATTGCTTGGGCAAATTATGAAAATGCCACGGATTGCCTGATAAGTAGGTAATGCCTTTGATCACTAGCTGTACTTACAAACATATTACCACTGTCATTTGGATAACAAATTATCCCTAAGACAACACCAGGGTAATAAAATTGACCTTTTACAACTACTTGTGCTTTTATTGATTATTAGTTCTACACTAACAGAACTAACAGAACTTATTTTTTCTTCTGCACTAACTTCCGTTCTTAGAGGTCTCAGCTGCCTGACAAATTGACAACACAAAAAAATTAAAACCAATGTAATGACAGTGAATTTACAGTTAAGTGGTGACATTTTCAAAGGGTTGTCGTTCCCATTTAAACACAAAGGAAGTTGCCAGGTTTGCTCAAGTAGTTGTTGTCTTGGTTGCTTTGGTCCTTTGAAGATCTGACAACATATGGAACAGTGGCAGCTTCTAGGTACCAGGTACTGTCCTCTTTTTCTGTGAGAGCAGAAACAGAGCCCTACTATAGCATGTGAATCAACTTCAACCCTTTAAATTGTATAGATGTAGAGTAAGTTTGTGACTGTAGCAGAATTTAAGTGTTATCTCCTAGGAACCCAAGTGAAAAGATTAAGTTAAATAAGTAAATGATATTGTGTCATCTTACTTGATATTGCTGGAGGTTGCTAAAAGATCTTTGCTTATTTAATGTTTATCTACTTCAGAAAATATATTCATGTCTGAGCCAGGTAAGGAAAACTGGTCTTTGAGAGGGAGTAGAAACTGCAAAGGGGCCTCAGTCCCAGCTCAGGTGGTGCAAATGTGAATGCCAGAGTGGCTCCTGGATGGTCAGACAGGGACATTTCCCTAACACTGCTTAGAGAGTTGTACCTGCAGGTGCTTGCTGTGCTGTTCAGAGCTCAGTGAACCAAAGGGGAGCTATAGCCATGCTATTATCTTTAACTGGTATAAAGTAATATTGTCCTTGTGTTATTGAATTTTCAGCATCCAAATGATGGTGGAAATTTTCCAACCAGATGTGATTTTCTCCAGGATCCTTGCAGATGTTTCTAATTAACGCGACTGTGCCTGAACAACTGTCTCAAGTGGCAATTCTCCTGGTACTCAGGAGTGTAAGAGTTTAGGCTTGACTTGTTCAAACTTGTATTTGTCTTATCCCAGTAATATTAACACAAACCCTGTAGCCTGTCTAGCAATGGGAACAGAGCACAAATAACGAACAGTTTGTTTTTAAAGAGACTTACATATCCAACAATGGAAAAACAATCAATGACAATTTAGATGCTTCTGACTGAACAAGATGTCTTTAAATTAAGTCTCACATCTCATATGAGACTTGGAAACAAGAACACTCTGACTTCCTAATTTAGCCACTGAAGAGCAAAGAAAGAAGTCTGAGTCGTTAGGCCAGGTGACATGTATGCTTCCACCAGGGATCTTCAGCAGGGGAGCCTTTTTTCTTTGGGCATCTGTCACAGGGAAGAACTGCCTTTAGGGGGGCAGAAAGACTGGGGAGAAAACTAAAACACTCAGTTGGTGACCCTGAAATTAAGCAGCAGTTGGTGATAATTTTCTGATATTTTTCTTCATTCAAAGAACTCACTAGTTTTAGATGAAATTGGTGGTGCAAGAGTTGGAGCACAGTCACCCAGCTGGAGTACTGAGAGTAGAATTGGGGCAGCTAGTGTTAGACCTGTCATCTGTGTCACTGTAAACCACAATCAGATCTAATTGCACACAATCACTGAAAAGACACTCTCATTCCTCTTTCTTCCTATCCACACTGCTCCAAATTTATGTTTGCATAAATTGTAGGGACTTCTCAGCCCTAGTTGATTTAATTCAGCATACTAATCAGATGTATCAAGAAGGGTCAAAATTTGGCACAGAGCTAGACATTCCCATGACAAAGACTGAAATGATACTCTGCTTTCATCCTGATGTAATAAAACCTTCTCAGTGCAAGTAATCCTAGAATGGCAATAATTGTGTTGTTGATCTTTGCTTATTTTGTCAAGGGTGGACGTGATGTTATCTGCCTTTTTAGAAAGACCTGAATAAGCTATATGTATTAGTATTATTAGGAATTAAAAGCCTCTTGAATCTGCTACTTACCTGAGCCATGAAAGTGGAGCTGCCAAGTTGCTCTCATAATTATCAAAAAGTTAGATTTTGTATGGAAATAAGAGCCAAAGTGAATAAGAATTCATTTGCAAAGGAAGGAAAGATTACAAACTTGTTTTCTAACACCTGCTCTCCACTTTGGCAGTACAATAAAGCAAGGCATAGTTAATGCACTTTTCCCCAAAATTATTAATGCACTCAGGGGAATATGATCAGCTGAGGCTTTGGAGATCACACTGCCACTTGCCCAATTATACCTAATGACAACATATCGTTCCAGCAAAATGTGTCTATTCTTTGGTAGGTTACATTTCCTCCCAGCCTTTTACTTATCGATCCAGTAGTACCTCATGCAGAACAAACTTCTTTGTTGGCAAGTCACATTTATGAGAACAGAAAAATCTTTTATGTTACATTTTTAACATCTGACTGAGTCCGTGAGAGGAAAAGCTTCTTGTATGGAGCATGACAAATTGTTGTGATTTTTGTAAAACAAAGCAATAAGCAGATCTGCATTACATATTTTGTCATCATCGTTGCTGTTGTTAGGGTGTTTTTTTTGTTTGTTTGGGTTTTTTTGTTTGTTTTTTTTCTTTGTTGTTGTTGTTTTGTTTTGCTGGTTTTGTTATTTGGTTGGTTGGTTTGCTTTGGGTTTTTTTTGTTTGGTTGGTTAGTTTGCTTTGGGGGGTTTTTTTTGTTTGGGGTTTTGGTTTTGGTTTTGTTTTTTTTTGTGGAAGTGGAAGGGCTTGAAGAAAGCTGGTGAAATCATGTATCCCTGACTAAAACACTTAAAACATTTTTGTGTCTGCTGTGAGTGTTCATGACAAAAAGTACAAGCTGATGAGTAAGGGAAGGGTTGAATTCTGATTGATCTTACAAATTGTCTCTCTAGTTACTGTTTGAATAGTTGTAACCTGCAACAAAAGAAATAGTTTTTTCAAATGCAGACCCATATCAAGGTAGCTCACTACCATCATTCAGCACTTTCTAGCTGGATTACTGCTGTGGTCTTCAGGCCCTTTGGAGTTTAGTCTTTAAAATATTCAACCTCGTCATTATTGCTGTCTTGCCTTCCAGCATTTCTCCTGAAGTTCTCTCTTGTATGCTGGCCTTCTTCCTGTAAGAACCTCCCATCTTGCTCTCACAAAGGTTCTTACCAGTAAATTGAGCTGGGGGAGTATACATGGGCTTTGTATTTCCCTTATGAAGCCTGAAAGCACTGAGTCTGAGAAATGCAGCTGAGTGCACTGGTCACTGCTTGAATTCATTTTGTCTCCCCTACAGCCTTCATTTTCTATATGCATCCTCAGAAAGATGGCAAACCTGGCAGTTTTTACTTACAGGAAAACATGTTTTTTCTCTCCCAGTGTATGAGAACTGGGAGTTTATCATTCAATGTCACAAAGAGAGAAACTCATTATGCCCCCAAATCATTCTTCCCAAGCTCAGTATTGATCCTTCGTTCTTAAGTAAACCCTGCAGTTAATCATAATCATTCTGAGACATTTCATTCCTGTGAGCGGATCAATAATGTCTTTGATGGCATCCTGCAGTGTTTTCCTGTCATTCCTCAGGACCTCTCTGTCACCTACTGTTCTTCCAGATCCCAGTGCAATAACCTGCTGCAGTGGTGAGAATGCTGTCAGTCCCTTCCTACTCATGTAGGACTCAGCCAGGAGCACGCGGATGAGGCCTCGGATGAGTGTTTATAATCAATGTCCATGTGAACTCCACACTTTGACTCACACTGACGCTGGGAGATTTCCCCCTCCATGTCAGATTAGTCAGACCTAATGCCCACAGGATGATTGTCATGAGCCTGCCTTTGGGCAGAAATACAGAAAAATATCCAAGTTGCCCTTCTCATCCAGAGGCTCAGAGTAAACCTGCCAGAGGGCAGTGAGTCCAGGGACTCACTGAGGGATGGAGAACCAGGAGGTGAGTGGCCACAAGGCAGGTGGGGCAGGGGCCTCCCAGTGTGGCACTGAGGGCACACCTGTGTGCAGGGCACAGGGCAGCACTGGCGATGGCAGCCAGAGCCAACCAGAGCATCGGGGCAGTTTGTGGTGACAAGGTCCAGCCACGACATCAGTCCATGGGTCAGGATCAGGTCTAGTGACAGTAACCAGGGTTACATGGTCAAGTCATTGTCAGGCAGGTCCATGGCGTCAAGACAGGTGGTCTAGGCTTGGTAGACCTGGCCACAGCCTCTGGGCCTCTCCTGTTGATCCTGCTCAGGAGGAGGGGGAGGCCTTTGGAGGCCACTGCCTTGACAGCTGTGCTATGGTGTTTGGCTCCTGGCTCTCTATTGAGTAGTCAGCCCTTGCTGTGCCCTTTTTTTACCTTTTCTCTCCTCCCATTGTAAAACATGCAGCTTAGGGATGGGAAGAAATCCGAGCAGACAATTTTAAAAATGGAGTTGCGAAAGAGAATAGTGCTGTGTCGCCTGCTTACCCAGAGTTAGATGTGCTAATCTTAAATAATTTCTGAATCTTTCTGATAGACAAGGCTGGTTGCATGTTTGTTACACAGAAGCCTTGGTAATTCAAAAATTGTCAAACAAGGGTGTGGGCTTTCTGTGGGGCTTAAGTTTCTCAGGGATGTAGTTTCTTCTTTCTATATTACTTTGGTGACACAAATCCCATCATGTTCAGATGTAGTTATAGAGAAAACAACAATATGTGCTACAAGTTCCTGTAAGATCTAGTATACCTGTATCCTCATGAAAACTTTTGAGTGCTGATGCCTCCCACCAACTTCAATGGTTTTATCCCACTTACACACCTGGAGAGTAAGAAATATTTGTATTTGCCTTAGAAGTGTAAACACATAAGTCTGTAACGGTATTGCAGTAAAAAGCTTTATACAAAATATAATAAAAATTTTAAAAGGCACTTTGCCCCATACTCTCTTAGTCCTCTTCACCTGAAAGCAAAGCTGCGTTCTTAGATCATAGCTGGGAACCTTCAAGACATAGGCCACACACAATAAGATTTTGTTCTGAGGGATGTCAGGGGGGAATTTGCTCTCTTTACTGCATTATAGGCCAACAGTCTTCCTATGGTTGTAACATACCTCTACTAAACTCAGAGGAAAAATGTTAAGGTACGCTTTAAAATGATTGTAAGTGAATTTCTAGTAGATTACTTGCCTGCAAGTCAAGAACTGAGCTTGGCCTAGCATGTTCCCACACTTTGTTCTTATGATGTGACTTTACTCCAAGGTTAATTCCACACTGGTTAGTTAACTGAAGTATATCAAAAGTAATTTTAGGTTAATGCACTGGGATTGAACTACATAATATTGCATAGCCTTTTTGCAGCAGTCTGAATAGAAGATAGCTAAGGGCTCTAAAATATGGTGCATATCTAGATGCTGTAAACTGACCAAGGTTCAAAGCGGGACGGACGGACATATTTTAAAATTTGTAGAATTTAATTTTAATCCTGGATTTAAATATCCCAAATTCAGATGTTGTCATCCAGATCTCAAGTCAATTACCTGAATTCATCATAAAGCCCAGCATCAGTTGTTCACCTCGGGCTATTCCTCAGGTCCCTGATATTCTGTACTTCAGGGCACACAGTACATAATGCAGTTCTTCAGACACTCTTACTCTCTTGTTCTCTCTCCTATACAGTTAAAATGGAAGACAGAGAAGAAGTGGAAAACAAGGACCTCCTGCATTCTTGCATTTCTTTTTTTCCCAGCCAGATTTGCGCTTCTAGGCAGACTGTGAAATTCAGGTCACACAGTACCGCCAAAGCTGAGTCTATCCCAGAAGTCTGTTGAAAATGGAGAGAATATGCTTTGTACAAGTCTGTCCTTCACAGTCTGTTCCCTGAACCAGCTCATTTGGCCTGAATAACTCAAAGGCCTGCAGTTTCCACATTTCATTTGTAACCCAGCATTTTAGTGGATAGAAAGTTCTTAGGTATTTCAACTGCAGTTTGCAAAAAACTTTGTAAGGAAAAAATGCAGAAATGTATTTGTGAATTTATAATAGGTTTGATTATTGATTTCTAAATGACCTGAATCTATGTTTCCCAAATCCATCTTAGCACTACATTGGTTTGAATAAAACCCCACTTTTACTACCGCCCTCCCAACTTTGTAATTCAGTGTTACAAGGTTAGCTCCTTGTATAACCTCTCTACGGACATGAAGTGTGAGGCAGGACAGACATGTAGATGGCAAGAGCAGCTGCTGACGGGAGGTGCCAACAGGCAGTGAAGCTCTTGTGGTCCTTCCAAGGGTGAACACAGTGATGAGTGATGTAGTGCTGTTGGGTACTTTTACAGGATTCAGACTAATGAGTGGTGTGGTAACATTTGGTTAATTGTCAGTAGTGACAATCTAGCCGAGTACTGCATTAGAGGGCAGGATGAACTCCTAGGAACGGCAGCAGGAGCAGCGCCTGCCCACTCCTTTCCATGGCAGAGGGACACCACTTAGCTATCCAGTCTGAGACACATGCTATGATTTATTTCACTTGCAGATCCAAGCCCACATAGGATCCTGAAGCCTCTGCTATGATTAAGGAGTGCTGTGTGCATTCCCCATGTGTCCAACAGTGACCTGCTACCAAAGGTTTCAGTAGTTCCGTACTTCCTCAGTTCAGGCATTCTTCCCTTTTTGTACAATGGAAGGATTAAACCATTTCTGTCTTGACTCTCAGAGATCAACAAAGTTTGGGTTTTAAGGTTTTCTACAGAAAATAAAACTCGTGTTGAGTTGAAGTGCAGGTTATGGGTCAGTAAACAGCAAAGGGCCAGTATGAAAGTCTAGCCCGGACAATGGATATGAAACGGGTGTTTCAGCCCTAAGGTGAGTGTGCCCTGTCCCTGGAGCTATCGGTGTGTGCGGTCTGCCCGAGTGTGCGTCCATAACACCTACTGCCGGTGCCGCTCAGTCGCACTTTGGTCCCAGCTCGGTCCCAGCCCGTTCCCAGTTCGGTCCCAGCCCGTTCCCAGCTCAGTCCCAGCCCGGTCCCAGCTCAGTCTCAGCCCGATCCCAGCGCGGTCCCAGCCCGGTCCCAGCTCAATCCCAGCCCGTTCCCAGTTCGGTCCCAGCTCAATCCCAGCCCGTTCCCAGTTCGGTCCCAGCCCGGTCCCAGCCCGGTCCCAGCTCGGTCCCAGCTCCGCTCACCTGGCTGGGGCGCTGCTGCCCCCTGCCGGACGGACCTGCCACCGCGGGGTGCGGGGCTGCGCCCGGCGTGTCCCCCGAGTGCCCCATGTCCCTGAGTGCCCCGTGTCCCTCTGTACCCCGTGTCCCTCGGGCCCTGTGCTCAGCCTACGCGAGCGCAGCCGACACGCTGTGACATGCCTGCCCTGGGGTCTGGCTGCTGGGCACTCCCCGGGGTCAGGCCCTGCGAGGTGTGGGTGCCCGTGGGGTGCACGGCCGCTGACGTGAGCGAGCCCGGTGCTGCGAGGTGCCGCCAGTGCCGGGGACAAGCAGGAGGTTGCACAGGGTCAGTTTACGCTCACGCCGTGCAGCAGTGTGCCTCACCAGCGGGAAGAGCTGTCCAGGGTTTCACTGCAGCGCTCCGCACAGCACCGGGACCCCAGGGCAATCCAGGCACACAACACGGACACGCGCTGCTGTGTGCAGAGAGGTCGTGCAGATCAGCTGTGGGGCCCTGGTGCTCCTTGCTGATGTTGAGCATGATGCTGGGCTGGACGGGTGCCCTCTGAGCATCGGGTGCCCTGTGCCTGGACACTTGAGAAATGTGTTTTTAATACAGCACCTCCATCTGCAGTGGGGGTTAATCACATTTATCTAGCTCAGGAGCAATGATATGAGGCTTTCTTGGAAATGGCACATGGAAGAGACTAAATTTTTATTACTATTTGCATTAATTGCTTTTCTTTTATTAACTTCTTTGGCTGCATTGGAGCAGTTACAACAGAGAGAGCATCTTGCGAATGGAAGTGTATTTTTCATTGTATTATTGCATTACACCATTATCTAGAGAGTACAGTACATCCTTCAAAGTTATAATGAGCCATCATTTCTTTGAAGGCTCTCTAGGATTTCTGGACCACGAGAGCAAAGCTACAGCAATTTAGTCATGGGAGCCAGAAAATCAGGTGACAGCCCCTTTAATGCTCAGCTGGGAATATGCTATTGATCTGAGATACCTCAGGCTGGACAGTCTGCTGTGGTGGAATTCACGGATTTTACCTTTTAAGGACGTTTCAAGCCACAGTAACTATTCAGAGCTAACCCTGGCATGCCCGTCCTTTCCTGCTGCTTCGACACAGAGGTCGGAGCCGAGGGTGTGTGGCAGGGGGAGGCGGGCTTTCCCCGCTCTTTGGAAGGCTGTGCTTCAGTCAGCGCTGAGGGGGCCGTGACTCACCTGAGCGGGCTCACACCCGAGCGGGGCCGGGCTCTCAAGGCCAGGAGCCACGCGAGGGGCCGGCCCAGCGGCGAGGGGCTGCGGGAGACGGAGGAGGTGAGGAGAGAAGAACTGGGTCTGGATTGCGAGCCTGCCGGAGCGAGACCGGGACAGGGACAGGGACCGGGACAGGGACCGGGCCAGGCCGGGCCGGGCCGGGCCAGCGCGAGCGGGAGCGCACGTGACCCCGCCCCGCTCGCACGTGACCGCGGCAGCCGTGCTGGGGCGGGGCCTCAGCGCGCAGGCGCCGCGGGGAGGGCGTGCCCTACCGCAGGGCCCGCCCNNGCCCGCGGCCCTGCCGGGCCCCGCCGGGCCCCGCGATCGCCCCGCTCCCCGCGGCCCCTCCCGGGCGGCCCCACGCGCCCCGGTGCTGGGCTTCGCGAGGCGCTGCCTCGGCTGAGGCGCGTGTGCGCTTCACTGATTGCTGCTCGCCTTGGCTGTCTTTGATGAGATGGCTTTCATGGCGAGCTCAGAGTTCGCCGGCTTAAAAGCAGATTGTCATTGACAGGCCTTTGAAGTAAAGAGCTTAAGGGGTAAAGCAGCAGCTTCGAAGCTTTATGAGTGCCAGAATTCACAAGACTTGGAGCTGACACTGTTTGTGACTTGTGTGCAGCTGCTGTCACTGGAGACACAGAAGCACCTGATGTGCGTTAGTGACAAATGCGGTGGCCAGCAAAACTCCTATGGTGGGTGGAAGCATCACTTTCCCTAAAAAACTATCAATAAAGAAACTTAATGAGGTTTCTTGGTGGGTAGGAAGTGTAAAGGTCTGAACTGAAGGTGCAAAATTTGAGTGGAAGTCTAGGGGAGGGAGAGACAGAAGAGGGTAATGTAACTCCCACTGCATCAGTAAACAGTGTCCGTCATCCACAAACCTTAAAATCAGGTGTTTCTGCAGGTTGGAAGCCCTTAGTTCAGGCTACTGGTGTAGCACTGAAGTAGTGATGCTTTGACCTGAGCCAGTACCACTGGCTTCTCCTCAGCCCAGGGAGTAAGTGCTGCTGTCCCTGAGGCTCACTGCTCACTCTGTCTTACTGAAGATTAACATGTAGCAGGTGACTCCATTTTTGGTCCTGAGCCTTCCCTTGGGGTGAATTCTTGGTCCATCTGGAAGTGTCTAGAGGCAAGGAAGGCCTGGTGAGTAGGTGTGCTCACTGGAAGGGCTGTTTCTGTCCTGGTTCTGGGGGAGCTCTTCCTTCTCTTGTCTAGGGACTGTGGGGCTCCCCAGCTTGCAGGGCTTGCGCTGCTCAGCAGCTCTGCAGCCACACAGGGTTCTGGCACCAAACAAACTAGTTTGTTGGAGCTTTGTATACACAGTGTCCAGTTCTGCTGCCTGATGAACCCACCCAGCTGGTCTGGAAGCCATCCAAAATATGGAAGACGGAGAAAGATCTACTTTGTGTGGAATTTGCTTTAGGAAGAAATTGGAACTTGGGGTTTCCCTCCTCCATTTACCACATAAAAGTTGCTGAGTTTGGTTTTCTAAGCATTTCTGTGTCATAGTTTGGGCTGTCTCGCATTCCTGTAATTAAAACTTCTGTCTAATTCAATACAAAGTAGAAATCATTGGAAGTCTACAGATTTTGTTTCCATGTGTTTAGAGAGGTGCATTCTGCAGGAAATGGGTTGTATCTAGTGGGTCTGGGGAAGGGGGAGCAAGGAGCTCCTCCACTTCTCGGGTGAATGGCCTTTGCCTGACTGTGAGCTGGCAACTGTGGCTGCTCTGGAGTCAGGCAAACCTCGTGTTAGTGTTTTCTCTGGTCTTTCTGAGAATTGTTTTGAACCATTCAAAAAGACTTGGTGTGATAATATCTTGGGCTTGGTTTCTAGGAATTTCTGCTAAGCACTCTGGAGGAGGAGTCTTCCCTTTCCACCGGCTTCCCCAGCACATTTAGTGGTGTGGCATGTTCTCCTCAGGTGGCTCTGCAGCTGTCTGCCAGTGAGAGCTGGGTTTTGGCAGCTGAATTCACTGAGTGCAAGTTGTTTCTCAGATGAGCTAGCTGGTTGGCTGCCTCTTGATAGACCTGGAGTGTCCTCACCCCTGAAATACAGGGAGTGGTTTTTGCTGTCCCCCTGAGGCCTGGTGAAGGCTGGTGGCTGTGGCACACTGAATGCTGCTTGGCACAGAGGTCGTGCACTCTCTGTGGGGGCTGGAGCTTGCTAGGGCCAAGAACAGGGGGTCTCTCATTAGCAAGGCTTTTAAAAATGGTGTGTAGGCAATGAACCCTGGGTGGCCCAGGTGACATCCATGGGTCCCTTCCAAGGTCAGCAAATCTGTGAACTTGGTACAATGTTTCCTAGAGGATAAACTGACATCCCTGGAAAGAGTGATGATGGCTGAATGAAATGGAACGTGAAGGTGGCAGTCTAGATGTGCGTTGTCTGCGCTTCTGGAAACTTAGTATTCCTCTATGATTAAATACTTAAAATACTTAACTCCCCTAAGCAGTTGAGACCCTGGATATCGCTACAGCACAGTGAGCTGATTCTTTGGGCTTGAATTTAAGCTTCAAATTCTCAAAATTGTTCTTCCAGCCAAGCAGTTAAGGAAAAAAGAAAGAAGAAAACAAGCAATTGTGTGGAGTTAAATATATTTTTGCAAAATATGTCTTCATACTTTCAGAAACATTTTACAGTAATGCAGGTCTAGTTGACCCTTTTTATTTATAGAGAAGAATCCTACTCATGGACCAAAAATACAAAATGCTTCTATCAAAATAAGATTGAGAACTTTGATTAGGAATCTAGATCTGACACACCATATGAAATGCAAACACAAAACAGGAGTTCTTTGCCCCAAAACCATTTATGTTTTATTAACTTAAATCCAAACCTGAGAAGTTCAGAAGTTTGCCAACACTCCTGAACATTTATGCTATGCAGGTACCCCCCAAGTATGTACTTTATGTGCATGCTGTGTTGGGGCTTCCATCATGCTCTTTGTTGGTCCTTGTTTTGGACAGTGCCTTGATTCTTTAGTCTGACACTGGTCACACAGGCACTCCTGTGGCAAAATACCCAGTGAATATCAAGGCATTTGGTGAGCTGGGAAGTTCTTTCTGAATCGGGGCAATCTGTGATGTGGTATAGTGTTGTATGCCCTGATATGATCAAATTTCATTTGAATGCTTAGAGGATCTCCTTGAGATAATTTATTAGGTTAAATAGTCAGAGTATGAGGTAACTTCAGAGGCTGCTTCTAATTTCAAATATGTCAAAGCCAGTAGAAACACAGTATTTCAAATGAGTTAATTATTTTCTATGAAGGGGACTCTGAATATGTGTGCTGTTTTATTGTTTATCAGGTATTAATGATGTTTGTTATTATGCTTGTTAATTTTGGCAGGTCTTTCTTCTCTACAAAGAAGCTTTGTTGCCAAGATTTACTCTGAAAATGACCTACAGTACTTACTGCAGATGTCTGCAAATGTAGAAGCTGATAAATCATATCTTCTTCCCTCCCCTGACTTTCCTGTTTCCTTTGGAATTTATACTTCTGAATTTTTAAAGTTAGACGTCTGTTGATGATATTTGGATTACAACTGTGAGCATACCTATGCAAAGAGACAAGCTACCCTGAGCACTTTTGAGGTACGTATGCCTGCTGTGACTTAGAACACGTAGAAGAGAAAGGCCATCTGATTAGGGCAAAGAGAGCTCTAGGTATACATATTCTAGATTTAGGCTGATGTGCACTGTTCTGCATGGTTTTAGCAGCAGAATATATATGTACACAGTGAGGCTGTAGGATCACCACAATACCCAGCTGGCATTGTATGGAGAATGACCTTGGTTGAACCTGCTGTGGGAGTACTCAAAAGATTGTCTTGAGAAAAGCTGTATCCACTGCTCACCCATTCAGTTCCTGAATACCACCATGGTCTGCAGAAATTTTCTTCGTCAATGTATGTGACAAACATGCCGCAGTCATTGAAATGTGCCTGGGAGGCCATGGTGGTTGCTCTGTTTGCTTAGGTAAAGCACTCACATGAAGTTACAAAGTACTTGCCTTGAATTTGGAAGCATCTGGAATGATGGTTTGGAAAGAAGGGTATTTTGCTTGCCTTCCTGTGCACAGGTGCTGGCACAGTGGTCTCTGCTCCCAGAAAGGAGCAGTCTCATTAGACAATATGCCTGTCATGTACAAGACACAAGCAGATCTGGGTGGGATTTGCCTTGTTGTTGTGCAGGTTTGTCCCACCCAGGTAACAAGAGATGGACAGCCTTGGCTGTTTCCACAGCATAGAAAGTAACCAGCATGCAGTTTTATTTTCCTGGAAGCTTTTAGCTGTCTATACATATTCTAAACCTGGAATGAGGAAGCTGGCTAACTGCCTCTGTCTGGGCTTAGAGGAGGCTGGTGTGCACTGATAACATCTTTTCCTTCTGTAGACTATTTGGAACTCCCTTTGGTTATCCCTTCTGTGATGTAGATGCCAACGTTCCAGAGCAGTGGTGGTCTTGTCAGTTAATGGTGGCTTACAGTGAAAGGCAGCCAAACATACACCTCTCTGGCTTCCAGAAGAGACATTCATTAGTGGGTTTAGTTTAAAAGGAAAACTAGTTGTGCTGAAAGTAGCTACCCGACTGAATCATTCATCATGGCACATTGCTGGACAGGATGTATTTAGCAGACATCACACACGCTTTTGTTGATAAGCTCCAGTGATTCAGACTGACATGATACTGGAGGGACACAAATCTGACCTACCTCCCTGTCTGGCTTAAAACAGCCTGATGGTGTTGCTGTAACAGGAAGGCAGAATGGGCTGTGTTGCAGTGCAAGTGTGAACTGTGATGGGCAGCAAAGTGCAGTGGTTGGGAAGGGGATCCCTTACATGGAGGAACTGCATCATTCGCCTGCAAGCAGAGCTGGGGCCAGGGATTGGCACCTTGGTGAGATTCGCTGCTACAAGTGGGCAGAAGTTGGTGCAGCACACTTTAAATGTGTTTCTCAGTCTGCCTGGGCAGTGTTATTTGGCTGTGGCAGTGTGCAAATGTAGCATTGGGCAGAAAGGAGGAGCATTGTTTCCTGTAAGCTGCTTTCATAGAAGCTGTAGGAACACATCAGGAGTGGTTTGCTGAGCTGCCCTTTGCCAGCTTAGTGGTGCTTTATGCAGTGTACCAGGGATGTGGATTCTGTAACCCAACGTGGTGCATTTTTTTGGTTATATATAAGTAGGTTATGATCTCTGTAATCCTATCAATTAATGGTGCACATTTAAAAAAAACCTTACCATTCTGTGAAAATAGAACAACTCCTGCAGTATCTTTGAACACCTGTAAG